TCAATGGGGAAACTCCAGTCTTTTTACACTGCACGTCCGACGCCCGGACATCCAGCGGGGCCAGGCGCTGCAGTTGCCGGGGCGCAATGAATGCTTTGAGGAGCGGTAGTACACTGAGGTCGGTTTTACCCCCACACACACACAGACCCCGCGCACACGCACGCACACACACACACACACACCCCGCGCACGCCCGGGACTGCGGGGCTCGCCCCCCGGGGAGGAAGCCGCCGGGACGCAGGGCAGGGCAGGGCAGGGCAGGGCAGGGCAGGGCAGGGCAGGGCAGGGCAGGGCAGGGCAGGGCAGGGCAGGGCAGGGCAGGGCAGGGCAGGGCAGGGCAGGGCAGGGCAGGGCAGGGCAGGGCAGGGCAGGGCAGGGCAGGGCAGGGCAGGGCAGGGCAGGGCAGGGCAGGGCAGGGCAGGGCAGGGCAGGGCAGGGCAGGGCAGGGCAGGGCAGGGCAGGGCAGGGCAGGGCAGGGCAGGGCAGGGCAGGGCAGGGCAGGGCAGGGCAGGGCAGGGCAGGGCAGGGCAGGGCAGGGCAGGGCAGGGCAGGGCAGGGCAGGGCAGGGCAGGGCAGGGCAGGGCAGGGCAGGGCAGGGCAGGGCAGGGCAGGGCAGGGCAGGGCAGGGCAGGGCAGGGCAGGGCAGGGCAGGGCGGGGCGGGCGGCCGCGCTCAGACATCGCTCCCGGCTGCCCGTCCCTGAAGAGGCGGGCACCGCACTCTACTTATTGGCGCTGCCAAGTGGCTCCCTGTGGTAGCGGTGGGCGAGCCTGTCCCCCGCTTCCAGGCGCCCTGTTCCTTGGCTAGGTCTGCTGTACTGATGAGCACGGGGCGAGCAAGCAAGCGCCTGCGGTCTAGGCCGCCCGGGGCATGTCAAGCCTGCCTGGGGGGTTTTGTTCTCTTTGATGCCCTCGAAAGCAGATCTTTCCTTCCAGGGTCCTGCAGCCAAGAGCATCGACGATCCGTTTAGCTATGCTAATGCCACCATGCCTCCAGGGCACTGGTAAAAAGCTCTCCAGACCTTCATCTTGTTCAAACAGATCGTCTCCCACAACAAAGGCAAAGGGTAGACGTCGCTTATGGAAGCACTGCATGTTGTTAAGAGATGAATCTAAGCACAGTGGATTTTTAGGCACTTAACACTGCTGCAGCACAGGGATCCTCGGGCTATAACGACACATCCAAATGTTCATTCCCTTCTTGTCCAATTATAATATGGTGTCTGGCTTCATCTTTTCTTCCTCTTAAATACCACAACCACATGTTAGACTTTGAATCCCCTTGGTGGATGCATTATGTGGGGCAGATGCTGGTTATACGCTTTGGGACCAAAAGAACCCCCCAAGGGTTCAAAAATCAGAGCCTCTGGCTGGTTTATAAGAATAGTAGCAGCCTTAGGGGAGGACAAACTGGGTGACCGCCTGGGGCCCCACACTTTAGGGGGCCCCAAAATTTTGCCACAAATTTTTTTGGGGGTGAAGTTTTTGCAAGGAAGTGGCTCTATTTGCATTTTAACACAAGGCAAGTTATCTAATTCCCCCAAAGAATATTAAAAAGATCCACAATACAACTGTGGTGGGTTCAGGGGCCCCAAATGACTCTCTCGCCCAGGACCCCAACAACCCTAAGGCCACCACTGACAAGAATCTTTTCCTTTTTTTGGCTAGGAAAGCAAACAAGTCTGAAAACTGCTGAAACTTAAGGATTTCTCAGGACAAATATAAGTTGAGCTAGGGTTTTCAGGAACAGATTGGGTGAAATCCTGGTCAATTGTCATTAAGTCAATGACTTTTGTAGTTTTGAGAAACCATGAGCATTTGAAATACTATTGATTCTAAAGACCCGAATCTTAATAGCCACCTAGGGACAAGTACTTTTCTCTATAAAATACTGAAAATGAGACTCAGATTAGACTCAGACATAAGAAGCACTAGTGTTTTCAGAGAGCGCATAGAGCCTTTCATTATAGTGACACTGACACACACAAATAGGGGAGTCAGGTTGAGAAGATCCATTAGCTGTAAGGGAGGAGAAAGGAAGTGAGAGGATGAAAATATTCGCAAGGCACGGATCCTTTTGTAGAAAGGGAGCCTGCAAATAAAACATTAACACACATTTGGGACACCTGTCCAAAGGACTGTTTTGCGGAAAACCCAGGGCTGTGGGAAAAACAGGAAAATGTATCCCACAGAGAAAAGTTAGAATTTCATTCTGGGCCATTTCATTATCTTCCCCCTTGCAAAAAAAATAAAAGTTACCTACCTCATGCTGATGATAAGATGTAGTTCAGTGACTTACAGAGTTGGTCTAAAACAGAAAAAAAAGTTTATAGTTTTAAATTGAAATTTCAGATTTCTGAAATACTTGAAAACCAATATTTTTTTCAGGTAATGATTTTTTTTCTAAGCTTGTTCGTTTCTTTTTCTGTCAATGGTGTTTGCCAGTGGAAAAAAAATGAAAATCCGAATTTCAGTTTTTACCTGCTTCAATGAAAAGGTAAGTAACAGGAGGAAAGAAAGACAGAAGTTAATTGAGTACATAGAAGAGGTCAACAGATACACATATCATGTGGCTGAATCTCAGTTATACATTATATATATACACTGCTTGCTGTTGGAAGGTTATTGAAAAGCTAATAATATGCACTAGATTTTAAAAGTGAGCTTTATTTTCCCTTTCTACACTGCCGAATTGGAGGCAGGAATAATTTTTCATTAACAATTTTTAGATTGATCTCACTTGAATATTTAAATACCTAATTTGTATAGATTAGATACAAAAAGGTAGACTGGATTAAGTCTCTGTTGAAAAGTGGGTGTTAGTGTTCTGAATTTTTTTCAAAGGTTATTCATGCATTTTGTGCATACAGGTTACCTTGACTACACATGCAAATCAGTAGCTGATCATACAGGTGATTAATTTTGTCCATGTGTGCATGCAATTATTTAACTCTGATACTAAATTATAGCAAATATGAATGCACGCTAGGAACAAAATTGCACACGATTTTTGCATGTGAAATTATAAGTTTTCCTCTCAGATAATCTATACTGGAAGGCTAATCAGAAAAAAACATAACAAAATTAGACAAACTGTTTCATAATGTGTATAGTTAATCCAAATTAAGAACTAGAGGTGTACCGATACGTCAGTCCAATATTGGATCGGCACCAATATAAATAAAATTAAATGTATCGGAAATCAGCCTGATGTGGCTGATAATTTGGCCAATAAATGGCCCGTGCATGCATGTAGCAGCAGCGCAACACATAAGCAGTGAGAAGCACAGCCAGGCAGCTTGGAGAGCTGTGTGCAGCTGATAAGTCTGTTGTGGTGGAAGGGGAGAAGGAAGGGACGTGAGGGGACAGATCAGCAAAGCGAAGTAAAGAAGTGGAGCAGGGGCTGGGGCAGACCCTGTCCAGCTGGGGCACCGGGGGGGGGCAACTCCTGCCCTGCATGCACCCCAGGAGGGCATGGGGGGCATGCACCCCTAGATCCCTGTGGGGCATGGGCTGCAGCTGTGGGCTGGGCCTGCGGCAACACTGGGCTCTTCCCAGCGTGTGGGGGGTGGGAGGGTTGGGCCAGGG